AAGTACATTTTTTCATCCCTACTTTCTAACAGGTATCCTTTGTAGGTAAAGTTGAGTGGTGGAAGGTGAAGGACAGATCTCTTGGTCAGCATAGTTTTGTTAGAAGTTATAGGATTCCCATTATTTCAAATTCCTGCATATTGCCTAAGTAAATCTTTACTGAATCTGTAAAAATCTGGGCATTGCAGATTCTTCCACTGACCAGGTCACAAACAATCTCTCTTTTTCTAAAACAGACTGTCTTCCTCTCCCCTCCTCTAAAAGCAGTAACCCTTTCCAGGTATTAATCCTAAAACTTAGTGCACAAGGGTCATAATTATGTGGTAAGCACAGAGTAAATCTATTTATTCTTTCATCACCAATAGTCATTCCAGCTGGAATATAAAGAAAGCAAAGCTCAGCTTTGATTGTTTCAGTTGTAAACAACTTTGTCTCAAAACCAGCAGTTACTGAAATCACCCTAGAAATCTTTGTAGCTCCTGTCTGTTCTCTCCTGCCAAGTTTTCACCTGAAGGAAGAGAACTGGCTGGGTGTTTTCTTGGAGCAATCCTCCCCAGGAGGAGGGCTCAGCAGAGACTTGCAGGAGCTGTTCTAAGGGATACACACCAGGCAGCAATGAAAACAGATGCTGCTGAACTGATCTGCTCACTCCATTTCCAAGCCTCTGGACTTTTAGAACTACAGGGAGGCAGGATTTCTGCCCAGCTAACTGCTCACCTGGTAACAATGCAGTTTGGGCCTGGCATCAGAACAGATCAGTGCTTCATTCTCAATGCCAGTGACTCAAGGGGAGGGCAAAACTAAAGGTTGCAAGGAGCATCTTCACCCCCGACCTGCTTTCAGCAATCTCAAGAGCTTCACCTTCAGACTGAGGAAAAACAGGGTTAACTTGTTTCAACAAGTGAAACAGTCTTCATTTTCTTCTAGGGTGACTTCGTATCCAAAATACAAAATGAAAATTTATTTGCATCGACGCCAGCCTTTCTAAAAATCAGAGAATCTCAAAAACCCTCTCCTTGATAATGCTCTTTTCTAATAGTTTAACATTTAAAAAACCCAACAAAGACCAAACACAAAGCCTTTCCTCGCTTTCAATCCCTCCTGATATTTCCACACATGCAGGCAAAAAAAAAAAATCTCTTATTAATGCCACAGAGCTGCCAGAATCCAAACTTTTTCTCTGTATTCTCTTTAACAGCTCTCATTTACTGTGAGCAGGTGGTGAGAAGGAAGCAGAGTAAGAGAGAAGAGGATTATTTCGGGAAAGGAAGCGATAACTGTTACTAGCCTGTCTAACAGTATGAATGGTGGAAATCTGAATCATGCTTTTACTGTATGAATGGTTAATTCCAATATGTTATTACAAACAGTGATCCTTTTAAAGGATGTAATCTCCCTAACAGGAAAAAATACACCTGTCAGAAAAAGAGCAGGATCTGAAGCAGAAATGGAGGCAAACAGAGATGGACCAGCTTGAGTTCCTCTTCCTGTGACATTTCTTTGCTGGCCTCCAGGGCCTGCAACACACTTCGTAAGAGAATTGGCCCATTGAAAATAACACTTGAAAGAAGGATAGAGACTGTCAAGCTGGAGTTAGGGAGAAATTACAGCTACATTTTTAGCTTGGAAGCTCCTCTCAGTAAGTGCTGCCAAGATGAAATCCTAGCAAGTAAATGACATATTTAGAGTGTGCCTGTTCACTCACAGAGGTATTACTACAATGATAGGGATTAGGCACCAAGAAAATTTCATGGCATGTATTTAACGGATGGCTTGCTGACACAACTCCGTGTACAGTGCACCTTCCAGACAGGAATTAAGAATTCCAGCATTAGCAACAGCCTCTCCAATGCCTGCAAGCAGAGGGAAAGCTCCTAAGCCAGCAGTAGATGCTGAGTGCCTCTGGAGTTAGTTTTTAAATGATCTTATTAGCTTTCAGTGTTTAAACAAGTCCCTCTCTATGCTGTGTTTCATCTCTGTGTCCGCCCCTCTGGCTCTCATCCGAGGGTGACCACAGCGGCTTCTGCCTGCACAGAAGGGATGGCTCAGCTGCTCTTCTGGCAGCTGCTGAACCATCACAAATTACAGCTTACTGTACTGAAGTATGTGGAAATTGGTGCCTATCTTAGTACAGGGGACTGTGAACCGTGGTGGTTCAGCAGCTGCCTCCCCCCAGCAGCTGAGCCAACCCTGCAGCCAGGGTGGAAAAGGAGAGAGGCGGCGGGGACGGGCTCGGCAGCCCTGGGGTGAAGCACACTTGACTTAATGCTGACCTTTGGAGGGTTACACATCTTTTCCTCCTGCTTCTCAGCTGTAACGTGGGCAGTTCCTCTCCCACACACTTCCTAGGAATGGTGCTGCAAGGATGTGTGCATAATGCTATAAAGAATGCCACAGAAATTTGCAGAATGGGTTCTGCTGCTGATTATGCAGAGCCCTTGAAGAACATGTGCTGTTCCAGTTTTTCCATTAACAAAAAGATTCTCATACAAGTTTATTGCTACAGATGAAAAAGAGCCCCACTGCCTGGTTCCCCCCCTCCTTCTATTTATATTTAATAAATGTATCCATTAATCACAAGAGAGACGTGGCAACCTTACACAGGGAAAAAAGCAAATGCCATCGCTGTGCCTTCACCTCTGCACTACAGCCATTCCTCAGGAGCTCTTCTGCAAGGAGTAATTTCAGATATCATCCTAAGATGCAACACCTGCAGTTGCCATGTTATCCACACGCTTCCCTAGGACGAGCTCAATATTCTTATCAGCCCTGCATAGCAATTTCTCTGCTAGATATTGTAGCTGCCTCTGCTGTGCCTTTCAGCTTTGGGTGTCCATTCCAAAGCTATTTTAGTGCAGTTGTTATCTGTACTGCTTGTGATATGTTCTGGCTGCCACCATCTGTTTCTTTCCCTGTATAAAGATGTTCAATGCCTCCCTCCATTAATGTGTCCTCTGGCTCAGTATCTTGACACAAAGCTATTCCCACTGCTTGCTATCAACCCACTTTTCTCCATTAGCAGGAATTCTGTAATCGTGACAAGAGACATTTTTAACCAAGAGGTGAAAACAAGGGAACTACCCGGGGTGCTGCAATCAGGGATTATATATAACCTTCCCTCCCACTCTCCCTCATCCATCCTCACAGTGTGGGCATTGCTCAAGTTCCCCCTCCCACTGCAGGCCCACTGGCTTTAGCTACACACTTTGTGACATCTGTATTCACTGCAGTTGCAGCTCTCACATGGAGAAGACCATGTACTCTTGTACTTTTAATATACTTTTGTCAGGCAAACATCAAATAACACACTACAAGATGCCACGTGCATTTAAAACTGTAGCAAAATACATAGTAAGGCAGACACCAAATAGCAGAGTCATCCATTCTCTATGGCCATTCGAGAACAAGAATGTTACAAGGTTCCATTTAAAAACAGAACACTGGCATTTCCAGCTATTGAGATGCTCAGTGAAGTCTAGAAATTCTTCTACATGTTTTCTGCACGTGGTATGGAAGAAGAAGGCATTGAAATCTCAGATTTTAAAGGCCTTTCTAGCCTATGGAGCTGCAAATAATATTCATTGCCTAGAGCAGGCTGGTTGCAATACAATTCTTCATTCATCTCACTAGCCACACACCTGGAATAAATACTTTGCTTATAACACTGTGTGAACATACTCAAAACTGATTTTAGTTCCAAACAAGAATGAATATTTGTTCATATGGCATTTAGAGGTGCATTTGAAATGTCACAAACAAATCCAGTCAGGGTTCTATTTATGTCGCTAATCCCAAAGTATTCTGCAGTTTTGCCTCCTAAATCCTCAACCTGCCCTGTTTCTTTTCAGACTACCAACCCAGGAATCGAAGAAATCAAAAGGAAAAACAAAAAGAACCCTATCTGCCTTTCTCCAATAAGTAAGAGTTACATAGTGCTACTGGCAAGTACAAATAAATAAGTACTACGGTTGCAATGTGTTAATTAACTATCTACAAGAGTGAGATTTTACTTACTCATGTGCAATATACTCACAGAATAAAATTCTTGGGAAAAAACCCAGCTGAGGCTGTGAAATGCAAGATACCTTACCTGCTCTTCACCTTTAATAGCAGTTATCAAGGTTGATTTATGTTCAGAGATTCATGTTTTTTTCCTCATGGCTTACTCTCTCCCAGGAATGACATTTTTCACAGCTGAACTAAGGAAAAACTGCTCCCAGTTCTCACCAGCCAATGCCAAGGAAAGCTTCTTGCACAGGTTGGGAAGAGAAAGAAGAGCTCACTTGTGTGTGGTTGCTGCCTCTTCCTTTTTTCTGGAAAGAGCTGGAATGATGCTCTTTATGCAACCACAGGTGTGGTGGAATAAAGTGGGGGAACTGGGCCAAACCTGCACCTGGGAAACCACTGCAACGAAGCCTTTTTCTCTGATTTTTTAATACCTGCCCTTTCTTTTGCTTTCCCTAAATTTCAACATGGATAATTATAGCCAACAGCAGGCAGATGGTTGGTTCTTTTAGGAACTGCACCCTGAACAGGCATGAGGTAAGTTAGAGAAAAACCTGTTATTCGGTGCTTGTTGTGAAAATATGTAGCAAAGGAAATTCCAGAGGTGAGGTAAAACACAACCACCTAACAGTTCTAAACCAGCAGGAACCACTTACAGCCCTCTGCAAAAACTGCACTGCACTGACCTGCATCCAGCAAACCCTAGGGCTGCCCGGTAAGTTTAAAAACACAGCTACGAAGCTTCCTGAGTGCAATGACAGCCATGGTTCTCTGGCATCCCATAACAGTCTCACTGGTGTTTGGATACATCCTGGTGTTTGTTTGGAGGTGATTTTGCTGGAGGTATTTACACACAAAGCCTGGGTTGCAGGACCTCCCCCTCCGGCGGTGGTACCCATCTCTCCAGGCTGCTTCGCCGGGGTGCTGCCCGGGCTGACGTGCCCTCTGACACAACTCGCAGCTATCAATTAATTCCATGTCTGGTTTCTCCTTACCTAGTTGGGCGGCCCCCTCTGCCGGGTACTCGGGGAACTGGCCCTCGGAGGGGACGCTGACTGTCCGGCGCAGGCAGCGCCCTCGGGAAGGATCCTGCGGCTCCGGCATCCCTTCCGTGGGCACCTGCGGAAAAACGATGCCAACAGCTGTCAGTGTGCCACCGGGCCACGCTGTTAATACGCCACCTTGATAAGGAACTTCATTTTCTGCTCACATGGTAGTAATTCTCAGGCACAGTTTGGCGTTTCTGGACTTATCACAGAATTCCAGAGGCTCCCCAGGAAAGTGTGGCAGTGATGAGGAGCACATGGTGTACAGCACCCTGTACTCCACAGCTATCCAGTCACAACACAGCCCACCCATCCAAATAACAAGGCAGTCCTGCCTTTCGAGGCTGCTTTCCCAATGCCGAGCCCAGCCTTGCCTGCTTCCACGCTGGGCAAGTCAGGCAGAGGCAGATGGCTACATCCAAAACTTTGGGAAAACAAAACTTCCAACAGCTGCCTGCTGGCCAGCGGTGCAGCACAGACAGGCCCCGGCTGCAGAGAGCCTCCTCCAAAGACACAGTCACAGAATAACCTGAGTTGGAAGGGACCCACAAGAATCATCAAGTCCAACTCTTAGCCCTGGCACAGGCCCATCCCCAAGAGTCACCTCATGTGCCTGAGAGGATCATCCAAATGTTCCTTGAGCTCTGTCAGCCTTGGTGATGTGACCACTGCCCTGGGGAGCCTGTTCAGTTCCCCACCACTCTCTGGGGGAAGAACCTTTTCCTACCAAGGTCCTTGTGGTTATGACCATGGTTTTGCAGGTCTTTGCAAGGTCAGATAATAACAGATAATAACTGAGCTCAGTATTGGTGATTTACTGGATTTGCAATTGTTTTAACCTGGACAATTGTGCCACTGAGTTACTGCTGTAACCAGCCAGGTAATTGTGCTCCTCATCTGTATTTGTCACCACAACGTTGTTTGGAGATAAACTGTTTATCCCTAAAGCTCAGCAGTCTGGTGTCTGTTTCCATATCTGGAACCTGTAGGCTGGTAGGGCCACCTTAAGCTCATATATTCAACAGCTGGGAGAAACCTCAGGGATGAGGGAGATGTAGAATCCAGGGGCTGGAGGGAGGCCCAAAACATCTCAGTACAACTGCAATACATGCACTACAGCAATTTCTTTTCACGTAGACACGTCACAGACCGCTTGCAGCTAAAGGAATAGAAACCCCCATCCCATTTCCTGTGCTGCTTATCCTTTCACATCTTCCACCATCTCTGAAAAAAAACAGTATTAATAGCAAACAAAAAGATATCATTCATTTGCATTGAAGGCTGTGAAAGATGCACGAGATACTGCACTATTTTAGGAACAGGCTGCACTACAATGGCCCTCACAAACCAGTTCTGGCATTTCCTGACTTCTAAGCACTTAGCATTCTCTTAAGGTCATTTTTTAATGCTATTTATTACCATGCTGGTCTATTTGTCATTTTTCAAAACAAGTTTCCCAAAGCCCCTGTGCTTATTCTGTTCAGACTATTGTCTTTGCTGGTAGATTTTTACAGCAGCTCCTTTGCTGCACGATCTCTGGGTAAAAACACATTAGGAAGTTAAACAGAGACTAATTTTGTTAGTTTATGCCACATTCCTTCAATCAAGTTCACATATTAGATTTTCAGTTCTCATCTGGAGGCTCCATTTAGTCTCATTCCTTTCTAAACTCTCTTCTGGTCCACTGCCTCTCCCAGTTTCCTTCAGAGCATTTTTGGGATGCTGCGAGCTCTGTTTCCACATCAGTTATTATCAGTACCTGCTGGATGCTTTTAAGGTGTGCTGTGATCCTCCTCTCTCAGTGAACTTGCTGCACCCTTCCCTAACTGCTTGCTCCAGACCAATACAGCTCCTGTGTGATGGATTTCTCCGCTACTGGATTTTTTTTCCACCAAGAAATGAACGTGTTTTAAACAGGTGTATAAACTGCTGGCTTGCCTGTGGTCAGGCAAACAGATTCATGGACTGGGAGGCACCAAAACACAAGGAAGTGCACAAATGAATAGCACTTAAAGACTAAGCCAGCCATCTGCAACCTTCCCAACACTCCTCTAGCCCCTGACAGTGCAGCAAATTCGGCAAAGGATCAAAGGGAAGGACACAGTCCTGCAGAGTCAGGACTCCAACGGTGATTCAGCCTTTCAGCAGGGTCTTTTTTTAACCCATCCAGCTTTGTTATCCTGTTCTTTGCTCACCAACCTGGGAATTGTCTGACCCTGAGCTGACATGTTCAAGCTGCTGGTTCAGGGCTGGACTCTGAGCAGGGTAACTCTGGGACAAAAAGGTACATAAGGACGGTCCAAATACTGATTATTTTGCTAATCTTAACGATTTTCATCACAGGTTATGTTTCCCTCACAAATTCCACAATTTATCAACGATGGGTTCAGAGCTTGGACTCTAAGCCCTTGGACAGCATCCCAGCTCACCTGACACTGAACATGCTTTTTTAAGTATAAAAAGCCTGTATTGGGGATTTTTAGTAATTTGATGACAAGGAGATTTCAGAAGAAATAGGAGTAAGAGCTTTACAAGCACTTAATGCCTCTTAAAGGCAAGCTGAGATAGTCTCTTCAAAAAAAAAGTAGGGAGACAAGTTTCTTCATTGCAGATAACAATTTGCAAGATCTGAAAGAGTGGTTCAAGACAAAAACTTGAGAACTTGCAGACTTTTCTGAACTAATAGTCAGGAAGTTAGGAATCACATCAGCAAAACAGTTAAATAACTCATTTTAATTTTTACCTTCCTCCAGAAAGTCAGAAGCTGGCTAAACTTTTGACGTAGAAATCCACTTTAAAAACGTTGATAGCAACCATGTCTCTGGGCTTTTGGAAAATAAATGATTAAATTTGTTTGGGAATTGAAGCAAATCTTTTCTTATGACTGGGTTCGGGTTTGAGAAACTCCTGTTTACAGGTAAAACGTATTTGCTGCGAGGTCCCAACGTGACAAGTTGGGACAGAATGGCAGTGGGCATTTCTGAAGAGCATCCCCTGGGGGCCCCACACATCAGTGTTTGCTCTTGCTGTTTTCCCTTGGGATCACTGCTGACATACCACTACTGTTGTCAGCCACAGGAGGTGGAAGAGTAGGAAAATCCATCCCAGTCATCCTGCTGCTGGCCCCTGTCACCACCAGTAAGCAGCAGATCATGCCACAGCGAATGTAGGTCTTTGCTGTCCTTTGCCCCTGATTAAAATCACCCCTAAATCCAAGAAGAAACACAAGGTTTGGGTGCAGGGAGGAAAAGGGAAGAGTCTAACGCAGTGGAAAGTGTTGTTCATCTTCATTTCCAACTGAACACACGACGACAACACCCTGCAGGACCCACAGCCAAGTTACTGACAAAGACTACCTAAAAAGCAGCCATTTGTCACATTCCTCATAGAAGTGCTGTGCACAGTGTTGTCTGTCTGAAACCACTCTTCATGAACACTAACTCATCCCCAATCCCTGTTTAAATGGCACTGATTTTGCAGACACTTCTACTTGCCCTCACAGCTCCCTCCCCAGGTGGAACAGGTTTCAGACAGTATGAAAACATCTACACCTTCCTGACAGGGGGAAATCTTCCTTGTGTTAGAAATACCTGACTTGTACATGCATCAACCTTAGACCTGTTCTCCTTGTCTTGGAAGATGATGTTAAATATTATCCCACCAGGATGTGTTGTAGTAATTGCAGATCTCTTGTCATTCAGGACTCCTTATTTGCTAAATAGTGTCTCATGTTCCTACTAGGATTCATTTTCTTTGTTCTTACATTTTGGGCATTGATCTCTTCCTTTCATTAATAATTTTCATTCTTCAGTCTCACCTACAATCATTTTATGAAGTTGACAAGGTGTCAAGTAATTAATATTTTCCTACGCTGCACAAGGTGATACTGCCAGACTGTTTCTGTCTAAGTAATTACAGATATTTTTGGATCAAGCTGTACTTCAAAATGTCTCTGATTTCCAGCCTACTCTTGTTCTTGAACAGCACAAAATCTCTCTTGTACATACTCCATTCAAACTGCCTTGACAAAAAATCCATAGCAGTGGGATACTATGAGAGAAGAGTTTTCTTTACTACATTGTTTCTTTCTGTACTGTTCTTTACTATTTCCTCTTAAAAATCTGTGCAATTCATAATGCTGTATTTTAGCAGCATTAAGTGCAAGAAACCAAACTTAGCATTACACCTGAAACCATTAAGACCTCCTTCATTCACCTGTTTGCATTCTGCATCTGTTTTCCTACTTTCTGACTTGGACACACAGATTTGCAGAGTGATTTTACAAAGTACTATAAACTTTAAACATTTCTGTTCCCTTCCAGTTTCACTCTGGCCAAACTTCTTAGATTTTTATTCCATGAAGTAACAAAGCAGATGCACAGAGAGTACAATGAGATGCTTCAGACTTTCACCTCTATGTCAGCCTTGCAGTGATCCACGTGCTCCCTCTGGGCTGCAAGGGCACCCTGCTGGTCACATCAATTCCTTCTTCCCAGCCCACTGATGGGCAGCATTCTGTCCCTCACATTGACTCCAAGATCCTCTTTAGCAGTCCAAAGAAATCCTGACCAACTCACTCTATCAGCAATTATCATGTTCAGAGCAGGAACCTCTCCAGCTCCTCTTGCCTATCACCTTGTTTTAACAAAACACCTCCTCCAGCATCACCTTTACAATAATTTTTCTCTAAAAACAATCTTCAATTCTCTTCTTTAAGTAACCTCCCTCTTCCTCATTCAGCTGGTCTGTTCCTTAGGCTCCCTGTACCTGTGGTCCCACCCAGGGGCTTTTTATGATTCCCCTCCTACATACTTTTCCATCATTATGCTCTTAACAAGCATCTCTCCCCACTGCTGCCTTAGGCCTTTGTGCACTCTCACTTCTAGATCACATTTCATGGAGCCTCTTCCAACTCTGAATGACTTGCCAAGAAAAATTTAACTGTGCTGCCTCCCCTTCCCTTCCTCACGAAGGCTGCAAAGGGATATTTCTACTGCAGAAAAACTAGAAGGTGGTGTAAATCCAGAGTATCAGGTCTGTGTCTCTCTTAACTAGCACTTGTACACACTGTGTGTTTCTGTAAGGGGCTGTCTGTACACTGCCCTGTGTACAGACTCACAAGCCAGACCAAACCAACCCCTCATTTTCCTACAGAGCACACCTGACTGCAAGGAGTTCCCTTTTTCCTTTCACTTCACAGTAGTTACAAATTACTTGAAAATCAGAATGGCAAATCTGACTCCAGCTACAAGCTCCTGAAACAAATCACATTATCAGCATGTGGAGTCACACCTGCACCAAAGGCATGTCTGCCTGGCCCATCTGCATGCAGCATTTCCCAAAACAAGCTATTTCTCACTGTCACAGGGCAGGAAGCCTCCTTTGAGAGCACACTGCAAAGATTTTTCACTACTGCTTGACTTCTTGGGGTTACTGCTGCACTTAGACCTCAGGCTCTCTGTAGCCTGATACTGAATTTCCTCAGCTTCTGACAAAAAGCAGAGTGGTATTTAAACATAGTATATAAGGCCTTAACACACCAGTGCTGTATCAGACTTCCCACATTTATTCCTCAGGATCTAAGCAAAGACTCATCTTACTCCCAGCAAAATGCTTTTCACTGTTTGTGGCAGGAGAAATTAAGAACCCCTAAGTGCATGATTACCACCTCCAGTTAATTATTTGTGATAGGAGCCAGTGTTTTTCTCAATTACATTTCTTTAATGAGATGCATCCTTTTGGCCCAGCTGTGCCTCTACAGCACAGTTTTAGGAATGATTCTCACATCTCCTTAAGTTCCCTCAGTATATACTTTAATTCCTTAGGTGACAGTCCTGTCAGACTAGAAGAAGAATTACACAGTAAGCAAATATCATTAAATGGGCCTTCCATTTTCACTGCATTTGATCACCTCTCCCACACATTAGCATTGATGTTGTTCCCTTCCAATAAATCAAGTCCTCCTCTAAACCATTTCCTCCTACTCTCCCCATGAAAGGCAATATTTCATTGTAAAATAAATTGTAAATAACCCTGAGAACAGCTGAGTAATATTTATTGCTACACCAAAAACAGGTCTCAAGCTTCAACAGAATCAAGAAGAAACACAAAAATTCACGTCATCTCCAAACACAAGAAACTATGGTATTAGACTAAAATTTACAGGTATATAAAAAGCTTTCACTTTTCCCCTACCTTTGTGCCTGCAGTGATGTAAGGAGGCAGGTTTACATAGCTGTGGTGGCTTTAACCACCACTAAAAGCAGCAATAACATAGGAAGACGTAATGGCAGACTTAAAGACAGGCTGTAAAACTCCAGGAGGGCCTTTGCACACAGTTTGCTGACACCTCTTCCATGCACCCGGCATCTGGGCCAGCGGGATTGTAACTGAGCCCCACACCATCCACACAAAGGACAGCTCAGCTCTCCTTTTCATGGAATCATAGGATATTAAGGAGTTGGAGTGGGCCTTAAAGATGACCTAGTTCCAATCCCCCTGCCATGTTCAGGGACACCTCCCATCAGACCAGGTTGCTCAAGGCCTTATCCAACCTGGCTTTGAACACTGACAGGGATGGGGCATCACCAACCTCCCCGGGCAACCTGTGCCAGGGCTCACCACCCACACAGTAAAAAATTTCTTCTTCAGTTCCCTTTTTCTCCCCTGCACATATTTCAATAGATTCATGAATGAACTAAGGGGGAGATGAAAAGAAAAGCTGTCTCTGAAAAAAGCCAGCGTGAGCTCCTCTCACCTCCTTCTCCCTGTTGAGCAGCACCAGCTGGCTGTCCGTCAGGATGCAGTACTTCCTCTCCCATGTTGTCATGTCAGTGTAGGGGGACTGGCCACAGGACAGCCTGTGTGTAGGTGGTCCTTTCACATCTGCAAACAGAAAACCACAACGCCGGAGTCGTTAGCACGTGTCATTAATCAGCTCCTCTGCTCTTGCTGTTCTGCAGCCAGAGGAGAACCAAAACTGCACTCTGCACTTGTTTCAGCATTTTAATGAGGCAAAATGGGAATCCTGGGAGGCACCCATGTGGAACACTACCTAAGGTGCACTATGAATACTTATTTATCTACAGCATGCCTTACAAAAATGGCAATACCCGAGATGAACATAAATGTCTTTGTCAAAGGCTGAAATATAATGAAAACAAAAGACCAAGAGCGCTTATGAAAACTTAATCTTCTCTCCATTCCCTCCTCAGAACTGTCGTTCAAAGGGGTACAGCCTTGCACGTACTCTAAATCTTAATAAAGTGGATTATTTGTGTCTAAGGATAGAGAGATATAGGAAGGAAGATGGGGATCAAGGAAGGCAGGCTTGAAGAATGGAAGGAAAAATTCAAGGGGATGGGCATTTAATTGAGAAGGGCTTACCAGCATCTTTTGGTGGGGAATCTACTCAATTAAATTGTGTATTTTTATTTAGCCACTGCCACTACAGCGACAAAAACTATAACAAACAAACAACCCGAAACGAACAAACAAACACAACCCCAAAAAAACGCCAAGACACCAAACCAAAACATAATCCAACTTGTTTGGCTCCCAGTGATGATCTTTCACAGTTTATTTTAAAATCAATTTCCTGTAAGACTCTCAGGCCCGAGCTGCCTATGACACGGTGCCTCTCGCCGCTGACAAGTTTCCTCCAAGGCTGGGAAAGCAAAGCACGGGAACAAGTGCAGCAGACAGACTTCACTGCCAAGCAGCTCTGCCCAAAAGCAGAGGAAGCCACGGGACAGGAAGGTACAACTGGGAGCAGAGAAAGCTGCCCCTAGGAATTCAGGTGTGCAGCCAACTTACAGAACCTCTTCACAGGAGCCAAAATGCTGTATGAATGATAACGTATGTGACATATCGACTTAGAAAACACTTCCAAGACATTTTGTACAATCGGTTTCAAGTCAGAGGGTGGTGAGGCCCTGGTACAGGTTGCCCAGAGAAGCTGTGGTTGCCCCATCCCTGGAAGTGTCCGAGACCAAGTTGGAGCACCCTGGTCTAGTGGAAGGTGTCCCTGTCCATGGCAGGAGGCTTTGAATGAGATGAGCTTTAAGGTCCCTTCCAACCAAAGCCTTTCTATAATTCTATGATTCATCTCTTTCTAAAGCTCTGAGCTTAAGTCTTGGTTGCTTTGTAAGATTAAGTTTCATTTTTATCTTGCCCTCTAGTTCTACACAATTCTGCTTGCACTGATCTAAAAATCAGCCGTTCTCACTGTGGATTCCTGCAGTCCCTCCTGGAATACCTCTAAGGGGTCTAAAACAGACACCACAAAAATCAAGGGGCTTCCTGCACAGGAGCCCAGGACCTCCTTTAGCTATTTCAGGAGCAAAACTGAGTGTTCAAAACCAAAACTTTTTGCAACATTACCTTCCTTTTCGCGCACACGCCAACGTGCACAGAGCTAAACGTGCTGCTTCTCGTATCCTCTCTCCAGCGTCACCACTAGAGGCCAGCGAATCCTCAAACACCCAGCACCTTCCAGGGAGAGCCAGCCCCAATGCCAGCGCTAAACCCGGAGTAAGGAACCCCTCCAACTCACTTCACAAACACCCAGCACCTTCCAGGGAGAGCCAGCCCCAATGCCAGCGCTAAACCCGGAGTAAGGAACCCCTCCAACTCACTTGACTCCTTGCAGACCCTGCGTGGGCCAGATCCCACCCCATCACTAATAAGAGATGCAACATCCTTCGTGCTCTTCTCCCACAATTTTGCCCCCAGATTGAAAGGAATGTGTCAGCTTCCAGAGCCAGGGAATTAACTTGGAATATGGCTTTCGGTGCCTCGTTCAACCTACTGTTGCACTAGGATTTTTGTGATCATTCAGAAAAATGCTTGAAACAGCCAACTTGATACCTTTAAGCAAGAAAAAGAAGAGGGCTGCACGGCTCCTACTGCTCTGAATGATAAAAAACTGCACCTTTGCTCCCTTTATTTCAGGTGCAATAATTCAGGGAAGAAGCTGAGATGCAGAATCAGGCTCCACACTGTTACCTGCCCAACACAACTCGGTTTGCAGTTGTGATGAGCAATGCTGTGTCTCTCAAAATTGCCCAAACCTCTGTTTAGGTGTAAATACGATTAAGGGAAACCACCACAACCTCTGTGAAGCAAAAGTGCTTTTGTGTAAACTCCTGGAGCAACAGAGACTCTCTCTCCCACAAGTTATATATTTGTCCATCTTACTGATGTGAACCCTCCAGAGAGATTTTTGGCACAACTACATCTCACCTTTACGTGGTGTTGAACCAAAAACCAAACCAGATGCAGAATAAAACCACCTCTGTTCCTGCTTAGACCTTGGTTTCCCGAAGAGCCCTGCCTGGGCACAACAAATGTACCAGCAATGGGCTGGTAGAGGCAAGATCAGGGAGAAGGAGAAAGCCACGGGCACAAGTGTGCAACAGAAATGGGAACATGAGAGCTCTGGGGATCTCGTCTCCTGGGTACTGAAAGCACATGATAAATCACCACGGGGAAAAAAAGGCTGAAGGCGTGCGTGCCCTGTCCTGCTCGTGTGGGTGGGCTGGCAGCGAGAGTGCCTCCAGCTGCTGTGCTGAGCAATAACCAAGTAAACTCTATTTTGAGCTGCTGGTAGACTTTTTTACGGCAAAAAAAAAAAACCCCTCCCTTCTGGACCATCAGCTCCAACGCAGAATCTACAGTCACGACTTGCCCAGCCCCAAAAGATTTTCGTGTTCTAATTTCTACTAACTAGAGGCCTTGGCAGGATACCATCCAACTGATCCATGGGCTGCACAAAGGAATTAAAGAACAGAACGACTTCTTCCACTGCAATAACAACTCCAGGACTGAACTGAGTCATCAGGCACCGCGGGCCAGCCACGGCTCTGTTGCCAAGTGGGTTGGCTACGTCAGAACAGCTTTCCACAGGCTGCTGGCAGACTGACGTGCCATCCCAGTGTCTGGAGCTGTCAATCACCACTAGAGAACTCCACAGCATTAACATTTTGTGTTGGTATCGGTATCCTTTTGAACACATGTCGGGACACAGCCCCACCACCTCTGCAAGCCTGACCAAGTGCTCTCTTCAGCGAAGAGCAGTAGCAAGCTGGTTTTCTGATGTCTCAGGTCCTATAACTTCAGCCCTCTGCCCAAAGCTGGTGCTGCAAGCACACACTGCAAACCCCACGGATGCTGGATGCGTGTTCCAAGAAAGCTCACTGCAACAAGGACGGCAGCGGAGCTTTGGTGCGTCAGTCCCACCTATTTGAATTATTTCTCAGCTCACCCTCCTGCATGGCTGATATCTTTGGAGCCTCTTGCAACAGCTGTGACTTCGAAATGTATTCTGAAGCACGTTACCAGTTTAGACAGCAGACTCTTTGGGACTTTGCACAGTATCACATTTACACTTGGTCGCCTCACAAACCCTGTTCTGCTTTCCGGGACTCTTCATCTTCAGTTTTCATTTTACATTCTTGGCTCCAGCTTTTCACGTGAATGTAATAAAACCCACCGACCTCTTCCACTAAGGCCCCACAAAACTAATTCACCACCACTATGGAAGTGAGTGGCAAAAAGTTCCACATGTAACTAGGAGCACTCCAGCTTTTGAGAGAGACCACGAGTCAGGGCTGTCCTTTCTCACTGTGGGGCTACTACCTATCAGCTCATACAGCAAGGCTTGAGCTTTGGAGATGAGTGATCACTCACTGATGAATGCAGTTTTGGACAGGAGCTGGAGGAGAAATCAGGGAGGTGCATCTGAAAGCTCTGAGTTTGCAGATGTTACTGGGATGGGCTCAGGCAGCCACACACCTCAATAGGCAAGTTCTGGTGGCAGAAGATTTCTCTGGGGTCTGATGCAATCCTCTCCATTCTGCAGCATTACAATGAGGCATTCAAGTAAGCAGATCAGCCAGTCTACACACAGGATTAAAGGTCAGGCCTTATGTGCCTTCAGATGCTAATATCAGTTAAGTAACAGCTTGGAAAAAAATCCCCTTCTTGGTACCTCCCTACAGAACTGAGAGGAACGTCTGACACCGCTGAAGACTGGAAACCACGTTGTTTTTCCTCGGGGCTCTGAAATGCCATTAGCCATGTTATAAATATCCACAAAGCTCCCTTTTTTTCATCTAGATGACAATTTATACCTCATTATTTTTTAAGCACAGAACTTTTTTTTTTAAAAACGGGGGGGGGGTGTTGTGGAATAGAGGGACAGCGATGCCACAATCACGCAACAACAGAAGTGTTGAGTGGTGCAGGGCGAGGGAACATGGAAAGCAGGAGCCAGTGCCAAGCCAATCCCCACAGACAGGGTAGGACATTTCATGACAACTGACGGCACTTTAGGAGTATTTAGGGAGCAGTACAGTGCTATCAGATGGGAACACTTCTGAAACTTCCATTGCAAGCACGCAACAATTATTTTTCCTTAAAATTCCAAATGCAGAATCGGAAAATTACTTCCAAGAGATGACGGCCGTTCCAGTGTCATTTAGTCCCCAGCTGCTCTTCTACAACCTGAAGAGCTGCATATTCTCTCCTCAGAGCTAGTGAAAAGGACAGAATTACCAGAAATCGGGCCAACAAAACTACATTAAAGGTAAATTCATGCTTTCAGCCTCTTTGCCAAAAAGCACTCTACTTGCCATCAATAAAAACACAGAAATAACCCTCCATCCCAGTGGTGACAACAGCACCCCTGGCACGTCTCAGAGCTTTTTTTTTTTGAACCACACTCTTCCTATGGTGAAATCAAGGGCTCACTGAAGTACTTGCCAAATTTTCCTCAACTTTATTAGGGTCCGTATTCTGTTCCTAGTATTTCCAACAAGGAGCTGCCAAGCAGCTGAGTAACTAACGGAGTGGCCAAGTTTGTATGACTGGAGGAATTTTTTTCC